AAAAAAAAAAAACAACAAAAAACAAAAAACAAAAAATTCAACACACACATATGCCACATATGCCACACACCACATATCATACCACATACCACACCACATATATCACACACACCAGACACAACACATACTGTGTACACATACCACTACACATCTAAATGCCTTACACCACATACACATACCATCCACCACATACTCCACCTCACACATTACACACATACACTTTTTAACTGAAAAAGGATATACCATATCATGTTCTTCAATTTGCTTTTTTAATGTAACTCCAGACAGTGGGCAGCGCTGTACACCACTACGTGTAGATCTAATTTGTCCATAGAGATGTCTGTTGTGTGATTGTCTCAAGATGAATGTGGCCAACCTCTGCTATCAGGGTGGCACAGGCCTGTAATCCCAGCACTCTGGGAGGCTGAGGCAGGAGGATTAACAGTTCTAGCCCTTCTGAGAAATGCAATGACTTAGCAAGACCCTGTCTCATAAAAAAATAAAAATAAGGCTAGGGATACAGGTCGGCGTGAGGACCCTGGACTCCATTGTTAGCACTGAAAACAAACCACAACAAAACAAAACCCAAAGCACGATGCACTCTTTGGGGAATGATCTCCTAATAGCTGCCCAGGTTTTTATCTGTGCCTGCAAAACAACATGTTTTATGAAGCTGACTTTCAAGGAAGTATTATAGCTTTGTGGCATAGTACTGCCTAGCAGGCTGATTGTTTTTTTATTTTTTAATTATTATTATTTTTTTGTGTGTGTGGGTGTATGGCCAGCTCAGCCCGCCAGGGGGTGCGGCTGGCTGGCATGTGGTGCTGGGGGATTGAACCGCGGTCCCTGTGCGTTGCTAAGCTTGTTCTAAGTACATGCTTTAGACCACTGAGCCATCTCACCAGCCCCTAGCAGGCTGATTTTTGTCAGCAAGATTGGTCCAAAAGGCCACCTTGCCACTGTCCGGATTTGCATTTCTTTTCTTCTCCTTCTTTCTCTTCCTTTTCTTCCTTTTCCTCTTCCTCTTCCTCCTGTTTTTTTTTTTTTTTTTTTTTTTGTATTTTAGGGAAGGGTCTACAGGGTGTTCAGGTCTCACTGCTAGATCAGATTTATAGTGATCCACCTGTTTACAGCCTCCCAAGAGCTAGGATTACAGGTGCACCACCATGCCCAGTCTCAATTGCAGGCTCAGTGTCCTGGCGGTGGGGCCGGCACGCCAGGCCCAGGGATCGAACCTCCAGCCCCTGCACCTGCTTGCAGGCACTTTAATCCACTGAGCTATTTGGCCGGCCCTTGGATTTGCATTTCTTGACCCAGTCTGGTGTGTATGGCCACCCTTGTCTGCCCTTAAGTGGTCTTGTGGCTTTACGGGCCTCCATTTACAGCTGTCTCCCACACAGAAAGCCAGCTCCACAGACTTGGTAGGGACTGTCCCTTAGGTAAGGCAGAAGGGCCCAAAAGCCCGAAAGGAGTGCATTTAGAAGAAGGGGTGAAGACTAGCAGCTGCACTGAGGATGTAGGGTGGTGAGAGGACAGAAGGGTGGTGGGTGCTTGTGGGAAAGTTGCTGGGGCTCAGCCCTCCTGCCAGGCGGCAGAGGAAGCCAGAGGCCACATGGCACACCTTGCAACTGAGGCCTAAAGATCCCCTGCTTGGGCTGGGTCTCCCAGAGCAGCCCCATTCCTGAGCAGCCCAACTCGCTGACGTGTCCCTCGGTCACCCCACGAGGAGGTATGGGGCAGACCTCAGCTCACGTGACCAGAAGTCACATAACCCCACCACGGAGGCTCTCAGTCTAGAAAGTCAACAACGGAGAGCTGTGGTGTTTGGAGAGCCCTGAGGGTCAAACACAGCTGGGCATGAGTCACATGAAGTGATTTCTGAGGTGACAGCTCGGTGGACGGTGGGTCAGTCAGGTGCCACCCAGGCTCCAGCCTCTGGCCCAGATCTGAGTGTCAAGAAGCCAAGAACCTGGAGCAGGAGCCCAGAGAGCTGCTTTCACGGCCAGTGTCAGGCAGAGGGTCCCTGGCAGGGCTTGGGGAACGCAGGTGAACAGACATGCCAAAGACAGTGAGACAGGCTGCTGTGTCCCCACTTGACACCAGTCCTTCCCGTCCTGTGGCCCGGGCTTCTCAGCCACATAACCCACAAATGTCCTCCCACAAGCCCACCACCTTTCTCTGGTTTATTATCTGCAAGGAGACCCCTCTGCTCACTCTCAGCTCAGCAAACAGTCAAGCCCAGATGTGGCCAGAGCCCCAGGGAGGAGCTGAAGCTCACAGAGGCCGAGGCCACCAAGAAGGGGAGGGCCACCAAGAAGGGGAGGGCCTCCAGTCCTCCGGGGATTTGCTGTAACAAAGAGTGGCTGGGAAGTGGGAAGAGCCGGTGGATCTGGCCCAGAGGAATTGAATTCAACAGGAAACTCAAGAGGGTTCCTGGAAGGGAGGGGTGAGGAGGTGGAGTACCCTGGACTGTCCTTTCCCTGAGTGCCATTGCTTATCACAGCTTTGCTTAACTTGATTACATTCAATCCAGCAGACATGGGGTGCCTCGCCTGTGCAGGTTTGGCCCTAGGCGAGATGTCTGTGGTCGTATGGGGTAGGTGGCTGAGAAGGGCAGCTAACAAAATCCATCACACACACACACACACTTCATGGTTACAGAAGTGTCTGGTTGGACCTCTGTTTCCCGACATTTTGAGAGTCAAAGTTATTCAATGATTTAGCACTAGGGCCTGTTTCATCCCTCTGTTGATGCTACTTCTAAGAGAAAGGATGTTCCAGTTGGGGGACATGCTTGTTACACAGCTGTAGCAGACAGATACTACTTTGTAGATGCAGGGCAGGAGCTCAGAGGAGACTCCTGAGTCCACAATGGGCAAAATCCCTGGGATAAGATCTGAAGCCAAACCTCATATTTACTAAAAACTGGATTGACACAGTATTGGAAGGACAGGAGTTACTGGTGAGCTTTGGTCATTCCGAAGCATCTGGTGTAGCTGTCCACAGTACTCTGGCCCTGAGCTCTCATCTGTCCACTCTGGGGATCTGAGACCCAGGGTCAAGGGCTCGGATGTTCCCGTGAGGAGGCTTCCAGGAGCCCCGAGGCTGCTGGCCTCTTATCTCCACCGTTCTTGCCGATTGCTCTGTCCATCCTCTACCAGACCCTGGGTTCACCGTCAAACAGTCACTGCCCTAAACACGAGCTAGAACCCTGCAGGCTTCTTGGGTGCTACAACTTCTGGCCACTTTACCCCATCCTCATGGGGAGACAAACCGCACTTGCGAGGCAGCAGAGGCCACAAGAGAGGCT